AAGTCTCAGTCATTCTGTGATAGGGAGAAAAGATTTGCATCCATAAAAGATAATTTAATAGAAGTGCCACATAGCTATTAGTTGGGAGAGAAAGGACAAATTATGTGTAGAATTCCATACCAAAGTAGTGAAGAATAGTGAAAAGAAGTGAAGACCCAAAATATCTTGCCTCCACGGTAAATACCCTCTCCATGGCAAGGTAAATTTTCCTGTAAACTCTGATGAGCTTTAGTAGAAATACATGTCACCAAAGGCTGAAGGATGTGTGGCAAAACTCTTTGCTCTTTTCCAGAAGTGGAAAATTTTGAGGCAAACTAGTATGATAGTAATCCCAGAGGCAATCCTCTTCATCCTATGAGCAAGGAATATTGTGAATGTGCATTATTTTAATACAAGGCAAGAGAAAGAGGTGTTCATATGCATGTTGAGGATGGAAGTAGCAGGTTTATGGGTAGATAAAAGCTCCCCAAATATGATTTCATAATATGTAAATATTACAGCTAAATGAAGTATGAATAAGTAATTTGCACCCACACAGACTTTTCTGGAATATAGTCCACTCCTGTTGCTCCTGTGTATAGTTCATACTTTTCACCAACCAATATATTAAGCTGTGATGTTGCAACACTTGGTGGTAAATAATTTTCCATTTCCATTTTCAATAAACATGAAAAGAATGTGCACATGCAAATCCATCAGAATTCATAGATCATACCCTTTACTTCCTGTGTACTTTTTCAAAGATTCCATCCCATAAGTCCTTAAAAAAATCACCGATTTCCAGTGATTCCTTCTTCAGTAAAAAATCTTAACTAAGCAAAGTTTAGTTTCGCATTAAGAATAAAAGAAAGAAACCAATTTAACAGCTAGTCTCAGTCGAACAGACATCAGCTTCCTGCATTATAGATTTAGAAATTGACGCAGAAACCAGCAATTTAGAGTTATCCGTTTATTTCCTGCACAGAAAGTCTAGAACTTTTGCTGGCACTCTGCCAAAGGAGATAAGTCCAGCTGCAGCAATCTACTGTGCTGTTTGTTATATAATCCAGTTTTATTTTGCATCTGTGATCACACACACTCTCTTGGTTAAAGTCTATTTTTTACGTGTGATTAAATAATGAACTTGATAGGTCTTCAAGCAAGTAAATGAAAGATGAAAAGGGAAAATAGGCCAGGACATTATTTTAAAAAATAGTAAAAAAAAAGAAATCATTCCAATATCTATGCTGGGGAAAGGCGTGGAGAGTAAGGTGTCTATCCCTTGCTCCATCCCTCTCCCTCTCCCTCTCCACCACCACCACATTACAACCAGACCGCCTAAACAGCAAATGAATTGTGAGCTACTGGACACTGAAACTTATTGAGTGCTTGCATCAGATCAAGTATGTACAAGCTAGGAGGTCCGTGTAATTGTGCCCCTGCCCTGTGCTGTCATAATCCATGGAAAGCACCATATTCCCCTTTGCCTTGCAGCTATCACTTAGTATGCACCCTCAACCAGCATGGGTAGGAACAAACCAGGAATCACCCAGTAATTCCTCCAGTGCATCCCCTGAAAACAGGCTGTCTTATGTCAGTTTCATACATATTTTAAGCAAGAATAACCTGGACAAATGCTGTTTCAGTTTGTGGTAGTTGGATCATCTGCTAGAAGGCATAGAGGGACCCACCATTGCTCCATGAGAATCTTTCAGGTTCCCGGTATGACCACAATGATGACTTTATTATATTTCATTGTGCATTTGTAATTTTAGAATTATGTTTTGCACTGTATTGTTTTTATATGAGTTGTTTGCCTCTCTGGACTCACAGCAAGAAAGGGAGAGAAAAATAAAAACACAATGGAGAAGGATAACCACTGGAGGCAGGATGCCAGAGACACCACAAACTCAAAATTTATTTACAGGTAAATTTTACATGGATGCAGACCATCATGCCTTACTTTGAAGGAACCAGAAAGTGCCCATATAAGGCAATCTCAAGGAAACATCCACTACATTATTACTCAGAGGTTTGTGAGTAACTAAAGCAGGGATAGAGAATAGTTTGGGATGGGTGAGCTGGCATCACACCTCCAACATCAACCATTTCTAAGATGTCAAACTGGATCTTATTCTGATGCTCTTTGGTACTCTTTGATATTGTTCTGGTCTGCAACACTTGCTGGCTGTCAACAAATTTGGAAACCACAAAGAATTATACGAACATTACACATACATATTTTTTTTCCTTTAGGCTAGAATAACAGACAGGAAATCCCTTGAATTTTCAAGTAGTTCCATTTATTCTCAATAAGATTTTACAAACTGTTAAAGTAGTGGTTCATTACATGATACAAAAGATTGCCAATTCTGTATTTTGACATTTCTTTTTCTTTTTTTTTTACTTCCTTCCCTGTATTCTTTAAAAAACATTCAGTTTCTTCTTTCATTGATTTATGGTAGATGTTCATACTCCAGCAAAATACATGTATTGATTATTTTCTGTGAAGAAATCCAAGATTTATGTGGTGATTTTCATTGCAGAATTGCCTTTCAATTATCTACTTATCTATTTCAGTTGTATTTCATAATTCTGGCAGCATCCACACCTTAATTTTCATTTTGCTTTATTTGTTGAACTTACATACAATTATTTAAAAAGTAATCTATAGAAGTGAAATGCCAAACTGTAGGACTGAAATAATTCCCCCTCAAGTACATGATACTCTTCCATTCAAGCAGACCAGTCTTCCAATGACTAGTAGGAGATCTCCAAGATCCCAGGGAAAAATTAGATGTGACAATGTATGAATGCCTTATGCTTTTAAAATGTAAATAGCAGCCAGAAACATCTGGGTAAGTAGCATCAGAAATGTCTGTGGTAACAATTGTGTGGGTTAATCCTTTCCTAGACTGTGGTTCCAACAATGCCTCCACCAACTGCCATTTGTATTAGAAAGGAAGTCTGCATTGCCCCTTCCACCTTATTCAATGTAATTACTGTAGTCACATCATTAAGGACCACAGTTCTGATCAGTCAGATAACTATTAAGAATGGGCAACATTTAATAGATGTCTGCTTGTTAAACAGAACATGCCTTTGCTCACCATGCACCACCAAATGCACCCCAGAGGTTCTTCCGTTATTCTTGAGCAGCTGCAGGGGAATGCAGAGCTGTGAAGGGGTACACGCAGCAGAAAATGGAGAATCCCTTCTACTGGCAGTAGCTTTTCCACTGGCAAACAGTCACAGCTGAATGCAATCAAACCTGGATAGAAAGAATCACAGGTGCCTGGATCACTCATCAGACTAAGTGTAGCACTGCATTTGAGGGGGTCTTTTTTGCAATGAAATGTAGGTACAGAACATTACTAGAAGGATACATCGCCTTCACTGAGTGTTGAAGAGATGTTCTAGGAATATATTTAGGTTTTATTTTTAGTTTGTTTAAAAGGGAGGGGCACCATATGCACTTCAAATTCCACTTGAAGGAAATGTAACATATTTAACATATTAAATTAACATAATTTAACGTAACACACTCAGAATCCCACAATTTGAAGCCTATGCTACTTGAACTTTCCCAAGGGGGCTGCTGATAAGGAGCTTGTGAGATCTGTGCTGAGAATGGAAGAAGGAGCAGCAGGCATCCCTTGAATTATGCGAGAATGTCTGTATTTTATCAGGAAGGAGAAATTTTCCTTTCAAGGAATATGAGATAGCTGCTTGTAAATTTGCTAGTAGCTGTGCGAAAAATCTGATCTTTAACATTCTAATTTTGAGAATCAACGTGCCCATAAAGAGTGCAGAGCTGGTTGAATTAAGTCAACCCGATGTGAGAGCCAGTGTGGTGTGATGGCCAGAGGAGCCAGAAGATCTGGATTCTAGTCCTCAGCTGGTCAGGAAGCTCTCTGGATGACTGTGCGCCAGTCACAGACTGTCAGACCAACCTACCTCACAGGGCTGTTGTTGTGAGGATAAAATGCAGCTTGTAAGCGGACCTGGCATCTTCACAAGAGGAAAAGTGGTGGGATGTATATACAATGTAGTAGTAGTAAGAACAACAATGATCTACTATTCGGGCAAACATGGCAAGCATGGATGAGACAATTGGATGGACAGTGAGGGGATACGTTTCTCTTATTCTGTTCTCCTAGATAGAGGTGCTTTGCTATGAGTTTGCTTTTCTCAAAGCACGTGTGTACCTCATGCAGCGTGAGGGTTGAGGGGACTGAGACGTGGAAGCAGCTCATCTGCCTGGGCTCGCCCTTTCATGGGCAGAGGCGACCACTACCACCCACAGCACTGCAGCCATGCCTTCCTGGCCACGTTCTTCCAGCTCAAGTGGCTTATGTGGAAGGAAGCAGAGGAGCCCAAGCAGCGGCCGAGACGGGAGTTTCCGC